GAAATGAGAGTGAACCTTCTCCCTCCCTGTCCGTGAATTGCACGATTAGTCGAAGTGAGTCGAACGACAAAAAGCGCTCGCCGTGCTCTTTAACGTGCACCGCTGGCTCGATGCATAGAAAACAATGAGTCGCGGGTATACATTCGTGAATCGCTGGCGGGCGCCCGTCGTTCCGTCTGTCCTCGAGAAATGGAGGACACGGGGGCCGATCTGGTATGGGGCCTCCCGACTAAAAATCGAGCAATCTCTCGGGGCCGGGAGTGCTCGGTCGGAGAGAGGACGAAGGGTCGTCGGCAGAGAACAATGGATCACGTTTGCGCCTCGGTTCAAGGTCCGCGCGAACGAGCGAACGGGCTCGTGTCCGCGTCTAGATCGGTTTAGAGAGACGGAGTCCTCTTTTCACTCTTACTTAACGAAACCGCTAGTCGGGCAGGTGGTCGGGCCCGGTACGTGATTCGTGAATTAGGGGGAAAGGTGGGGTGAGCGGGGGGGGGGAGGGGAGAGCGCCGATTATATTCGGCCGACGGGCATTCGCCACGGCCTTGTCCACGTCGGCGCGAATCGGACGTGTCGTGCGACGTAGCGCCGCTGGCTCATCACCCGATAGATTCCGATTACTCGTAGCTGCACATCCCGCGTATCGATTATCGTCGTCCATCTTTGGAAGAGATGCGGCACGTAACAACAGAAAACATTAATAATATCTGTTGCGGATATATTTTACAGAAGTACGGAACAGCACGAGCACGTGCGCGCAAAGTGAATGAAAATTCAGGTAGAGAACGAAAATTCTCTGCAGGAGAGACCTCCCAAGCAGAACAATAAGTCACGATTCCTTGCAGAAATCTAATACTGGCGTCCTTATTATTGAATGACAGCGATTCATTACTTATTTCGAGTACTGAACAACAGTGCTTTTAATATTTAAAATAAGTAATCAAATCATTAATTATTGCCCTTCAGTATATACTGGCCGGTATTAATTTTCTATAAGGGATAACGTCAAGATATCGTTAAAATGAACTGATTAAAAAGTGACTTTAAGGTTTTTTATTTTCTCATTAACCTATAGTTAAGCTTGATCTGGTAATAATGTAAAAATTGCATTTTTTTTAGTTTCATCAGTAAACTGACGGTTTTTGTGAAGAGTATAACTTTTAAAGTTATCACTGTACGAGAGTGAGTTTAGTGATTAATCATAGCTAGAAAAGCAATTTTTACATCATCATCAAGTTAAGTGAAGTTAACCAGTACATAAACAACTGGGCTTTAGTACTTATTTTAACATCATTTTCATGTCACGAATAATTTATGTTCCGCTTCGACCGTATCATATACGAGACGTTGGCAAATTTAGGCGAAATGCTTGTGAAACGAACAATATCCAAAATCTGTTAAACAGCGACGAAATTGTGGCATTAATAGCCAACAGCGACTTGCGTATAGTCGATGTCAATGCCGGTGTCGTCGGCCAAGGTTCAAGGACGATAATCGCGAGAACTCAGCACGACAAGTCGCAAGATTCTCGTCCTTCTGTAAAAGAAACTCAATTAAGTAAATCGCGGGTAGCGATAAACGTGCGGATTCTTTCCATTAGGCTCTTCCCCAGGGACATTCAGTTCGCAGGACGACGGTCCACCGGTAATACGAGATTTATTTACTCTCTAAACATGACGCAGGTCGCTGCCATTTCACCAGACTTAGGCCCAGTTTCAACTGACCGGTTAACTCTTAATCGAGGCTCAACTTATTCGTTATCACTTGTCAATTCTAGAATTGGGAAAAAGATGAGAAATAAGTTGAACCTCTCGGTTAAGAGTTAACTACGAGTTGTGAAACTGGGCTTTATACACGTCCTTTACCTCCCCCCCCCTCCACCCCCCCCCCCCCCATTAAAATAGAGAGATAACCGCACGGAAAAATGTCGGTGCACCTCGTGTGCACGGATCGTGCGCGCGAAGCTCGTTGACGGCCAGGGAGGAGAGAAGAGAAGAAAGAGCGTTATACGATCCACCTAGGTCGGTGCACTTTGACCCGTTCGACATTCGCGGGGAAAATCATATATCGTCACGGGCTACATTTACTTCACCAGATCTTACAATTAGCTCTCCGTAATGCCTATTTTACAATTGCATGCAGGTACGGAGACTTTTGACTTTTATGGATGTGGAGTACCTCATCCGAACGGATATTTCACCTCTTTTGTTGTATGCGTGAGATATATATTTCTATACATATACATCCTAATGAAGTACTGTATTTTTGTCGAATCGCTCAAAATTTTTTTTAATTTGCTTCCGAAAATTAACATACATTTTTAAATACCCCGAATTCTGGGTGTGGAATTCAACACCCACCAGGAGCTCTGAATGTGGAAAGCTCCATAAGGAAAGGCTGGTTTACGGTTGCATAAGCGTAGTTGTAAGATTTGATAAATTACGATCGAGTATTCTCCTCAAATTCGGCTGTAAGTAATCCATTTTTACAACTACAATCATTTACAATTATTTTTGTAGAACGGACTATGAAGAGTAACGAGAACGAGATTTTTTTCGCATAACGCATAACGCACACAAAGCATTAAAAAATCGACCAATTGAAATCTTTTATTTTATGAAAAGGCAGGAAATGAAGGATTTTAATTGGTTTCACAAATGTAAGATTTTTCTATTTCGAAGAATCAGAAAGAGATAGTAAATTAAGTCGAGATTAATTTTACATTTGTGGAACCGGTCCTTAATTTGTTTATGCATAATGCATAACTCACAGTGCATAAAAAAATGAATTAATCGGAGTCCTTCGTTTCCTCCCTTTTCATGAAATAAAAGATTGATTGCTTAATTTTCTTATATTTTATATTATGCGTTACGCAAAGATCTGTATTCCGGCCTCAACATTCTAAAATATGACGTACTGCGACAAAAAAAAATCGAGAGAGAGAGAGAGAGAGAGAGAGAGAGAGAGAGAATCGATTCGTGATTGCTGTGTATATCTACAAATCGTTTGGAGGCGCGGCACAGTGTTCGAGAAACATCCTCGAATTGTAGATATTCCCGGCTCTAGCGGATTCGCACTCCGGTGTCGACACCAGGACGAGCCAAAGACACGGCTGCGTTTTTCCATTTTCCAGTCAATCCTACGGGTCCGGAATTCGCCGCTCCGGGAAATCGGAGCGAGTGAAATGCGCGCGGGTGTCCGGCGTGGAGGGACGGACGGTGGCGTTTCCACGGGGAAACTTCGCCGAGGCCGAGCGGATACACGAACGAACGAACGAACGAACGAACGGAGGGGGTTGCGTGGCGAACACAATCCAGGACGGGAGTGCACGCATCCGTAGCGTTGAAGGAGCCAAGGAACGAACGCGAACGCGAACGCGACGTCGCGTCGGTTGTTCGCTCGCTCGCTCGTTCATTCTCGGTAAGTTGGCTCGCTCCCTCGTGTTGTGTTCAGCGTTACATTACATTGCGGCGCAGTGCCGCTTCGCCGCGCCGGTAGGTGCGCTAGCGCCTATGCGCCGGGTCCGATGGTGGGGAGGGGTGGGCGCGTACCACGTGACGCGGGCGGCCAATCGGACGCGCGTATAGCCGGCGTCCGGCACATGGCGGCGCGCCGGCTTCGACAGTCGCAGTCGCAGTTCGTCGCAGTCAGTCGCAGTGGTAACACGAACGAGAGGGTAGTTGCACGCGCCTGCCTTCGAAAGGAAAGATCGCGGTGAGAGAAGAGAGGCGAGAACCGAGAGAGCGAGAGCGAGCGAGGGAGCGAGAGGTGGTGAGGATTACGAGCGGGAAAGAGAGAAAAGAAGGGAGAGAGCGGAAACGGAGCGGACGAGACTCTAGAAGCGCGCGCGCCCCTTGCCTTCGTTTTCAGTGTTTCGGTCTCGCGCGACGGATCGACTTCTTGGACGGCTGAGTCAGTTCCAGTCGGTCGAAGTGACAAGGTAGCCGAACAACGCGCGACACGAATCGTCGTCACGTCGTCCCGGTCGTCGGTCGTCAGTAGTCGAAGAGAGAGAGAGAGAGAGGATCGCGACGAAGAGGAGGAGGTGGAGGTGGAGAAACGAACGAACGAAAGCATCGGTCGAAGACCAAGCGACTGTACGAGTAACGAGCGTAAGAGTGGAGTGACTACGGAAATCGCTCTTCGACACGAACAAACGTATAGCACAAACTACACGCGTTCGGCGGCGGGAAGGTACAGTGGGGGATATCGGGAAGGCCATTTTCGTTGCCGGTGCGCGATACGTACGACGTAGACACGAACCGGCGTGTGCCTCCCGGCGCGAAGAGGAACGTGCGACTGACTACTATCACACACCGCGCCGTCGTAGCGGCCCACGTTTTCACGTCCACGAGAGGGGACCGGAGAGCTGATTACGCTTGCTTACGAGCGGAAAAGGTAACGATCATTTGAAACACCGTGCCGACAACGTTCGTTATCTTCCGCGCGGTGCGTCAAATTCCTCTTTGAGTTTTTTTACGCATACGTAAATAGTCGCAGCGTAGCGTCGTGACGACCATCACGCTCGACCCTAATCGGTGGGAAGTTAATCCTCGTCACGTTATCACCATCGTCACCGTTGTCGTCGTCGTCGTCGTCGTCGTCGTCGTCGTCCTCGTCCTCGTCAAGGCGACGCGAATAATTCCGCTCGTTTGTTCGATAGAGAGAAGACTACGAAAGAGAGAAAGAGGAAAGACCGACGTGATTATACGGTGAACACTCGACAGCGCGGAAATCCTAGTGCAACGTTTTCAATCATCATCGACGTCGTTGTCAACGTCTTGTCCGGTGTCGCACGATATACGGGAATTTGTAATCGATCGAAATGCCAACGAGTTTGTTCAGCGAGATGGACCGCGGCACGAACGGCGGCGGTGCCGGCGTCTCCTTCGAAGATCAGCGGGCCCTTCAGCTCGCCTTTGAGCTGTCGATGCTCGGTATCCCGGAGGGTTCGTCCGGATGCCCCGGCACCGGTACCGGCAACGGCACCACCAATGATCCAGATCCGCTACAGACTGCACCAGCCGTCTTCGAGGAGGCGCGTTCTAAGAAGAGCCAGAACATGACTGAGTGCGTGCCGGTGCCCAGCAGCGAACACGTGGCGGAGATCGTCGGCCGACAGGGTAAGTGTGTGTGTTTAGCACGCACTCTGTGCGAAATTTTACGTCTCTCTCTACGCGCTTTTTTTCTTTATCCCTACATCTTCTGTCGGCTGAGGATTCGTCCTTGTCAACTTTAACAGCGAGACGCGCGGGTGTTGTATTCGAGATTTGAGAACGGTATTCACAATTGATTCTCTTATCTTGAAAATCGTCTTAAGTAATGTCTTAAGATGCCAATACACAGCCGTCTGATCTTATAACATCTTTAGACTGTACTTAAGATAGCATCAGAGAATCGCGACAATATCGATCATTCAGGTGTATTAATAGGTATTAGTAAATATTCTATATCGACTGAAAATTCTAAAAAAAAATCTATTATTTACTATTTTCTACTTTCTTCCTATTTAGTTAATATAATTTTTTCGTTTTTCTAATTTCTATATTCTACTATTTATCTATATTTTGTACACAAAATTATTATGTATTTTATTAATAATTAATTCATCTTTACTCTTTAATTTGATTTCAAAATAATTTATAAATTTCTTCCGTAATGTTTGAATTATTACACCAAAAATATTTTAAGGCACATTACTTAAGATGGTCTTAAAACAGAATACTGGCCTGAGATTTACGGAGTAAATAATAAAATAGATAAAATTGGGATCCTTGAAAAAAAGGATCGTTTGTGTATCTACACTCTAAAAAATATCCGTGTGGATTTAACACCATGCAGGATTTATAGTTCTTATCGTGTTGGTATCAATACCAACATGGTTTATAACTCCTGGCGTTCGTCGATCGACACGATCGTAGTGTGGATTTAAAACCTATGGTGTTAAATTTGCATCATATTAGTGTTAATATTATAACACTAAGTGAGATTTATAGACATATAATGTCAAGTTCGTACTGATATTTTTTAGAAGAAGGCATTGATTTCATTTGTTCCGTACGTCCATTTCTATATCAATATGTAGATTAATTCTAATCTCTGTTTAACTTTTATTTTATCTTCTCTCTACTTCTAGGAATTAGAAAAATATAAAGAGTAAATTATAACTTAGAGATTAGTTAATCTACGTTGACAAAAATAATAATAATGTAGATAATAAATATGATCGATACTTCTCGGCAATTAAACGACATGTTTTTACCAATGTAAATTAACTTTAATCGTAGTTCGATTTGTTCTTCATTTTCTTCTAATTCTTAAACCTGGAAAAAGATGAAGAGTTAGTTGAACCGAGAAATTAAAATTAAACTGCATTAGTAGAAACGGGTAACTGTGAGAAAGGCAACGAGGGACGACTCGAGTCTCTCCGGCAGTTTTTTTTCAAAATTGCGTTTTGCAACGCCAATACTTGGCGTCATTTTTCTTTTTCTTTCTTTTTTCCTTTAAACCTCTTCTTTCGTATATTCCGGTTGGTGGAGTCGCGGGCGATTATAGCGCCACTGACAGTTCATTGGCACGACTGTAAACGCGACGCGCGCTGCGGGAAACTTGATACCGGCTACGATAGAGCAATTAAACCAATTTACGTACGAATTTCATTTCGCGCGCTCGCGCGTGCGTGCGACGTGTGGACCGGGCGGGAGATATCCGGGGGTTCCCCCTTCCCTTTTCCTCGAACCTGTCGTAGGTCGCGGTCGTTATGGCTCCGTACTTTTTTGCTTCCTTTTTCTCCTCCCCGTTTTCTCTACTATTCGTCGCCGTTCTCAACTACCGTGGCGAAATAGTGTTTACAATTACGATTTCTATCACACGATGCGATGCGACACGACACCGTCGCGTTTGCTCGCGCGCGCGCATGGCTCATAAATAAAGACGCGTTATATTCTGCATTGCACGGCCGAGACCGATGATTCTCTCTCTCTCTCTCTCTCTTTCTTTCTCGGTCCTAACCTTGAAGAGACCGGTCACCGTTCTGCGAAACGGCTAATTCGTCTCGCCGCTCTTCTTTTATCCATGCCGACCATAGTCCCTTCCCGCCTTTTTTTTCATTCCGCAACGTCATTTTCCGAACAGAATGCCAATATGGTTGCGTTTCGAACCACCGGAAATGCACCGGATGATCGATGTTAACTTACGTCTACTTTTCATCTTTTCGTGTTTAACAAGGTTCCCGCAGAAAGTGAAGCCATAAAAAAGACTGTGGAAAACTGTTTTTTATTGTTTGAAGAATAGAATTTTTTGTATGCATTTTTTTCTCTTTATCTATGAAAAAATTCACACAGAAATACAAAATTTTTATTATTTACAATTTGATATGCATATCCATGCATTGACATGGATGCAGAAAAATTCATTTTATATGTAAATAATAATTATTTCAAATATTTCAAAAGTTCATATCCGCAAATCTATCATAAGCATCTAATTTATTTATTTAAAATATTTTCTGAATTTTAATCAGTTTTACTGCCTTGTTCAAGATTATTAAATTAAAACAATTTCGAAATTTTGTATATTATATAAAATCGGCTTCTTCGAGCAATTTTATAATATTCTTCAAAAGAAAATAAATTCTTATTTTGGATAATACATAAATTTTCTAAAATTTTTCAAGTTTTAATTTTTTTTTTAAATTTCCTAAGTATATTTGAAAATCATTGTTAAGAAGATATTCTTTGTTCAAGAGAACCGTTACTTAAAAGGAAGAAAGTAAATTAAGTAGTCACTTTTCTTAGCATTAGAATGTTATTTTTCTGTGTGTAGGGTTCAGACACAATGATGAGAATAAGGAGTAAGGAACAAGAAATAACAGATTTCAATCTCTATCAAGAAACCGTGTATTCTGGTGTATTTGATTTCCAGTAGATTGAAATTTTTCTTATTCTCCTTTCATTGTATCTAAGCCGTTAATTCTTAATTGAATAAAAAAAGTGATATATGTCACGATTAGGAAATGAAGTGTCGATGTCATAGCTTATATTGCAGTTTATCCAAATCTCTCCGAAATGCTAAGCGTTACAGAAGAACATAGATAAGCTTATCGTTTAAAGCTATTTGTTTCGAAGCCTCATTAACCTTCGTAATATTTACGATACATAGCACGATCATTGTGTTTACACAATGTGATCGAAGTAAGGAAGTATCACAGATCATTTACTATATTGAAAAGATACTTTTCGTAGAATTACGATTTTGTTTTATCTTTTATCAAGCTGTGCGCAAGTGATAAGAAATCTTTCTCGTTATTGAGCGATTAATTCAGTCAGGTGGAAAAAGAGAGTGAGAGGGGGGGGAGGAAAGAAGGGGGGAGGGGGCGCGGACAAGAAAGCGCCCCCATTGTCGAACGATGTTATGCGTCCAAGTTCGTACGCGTCTCGCGGAATGTTTAGAAATTCAAACAACGGCGCGGCACGTGGCCTTGCCATTTAAATCTTAACGTCTGTCAGTGGCGATTGTATGCCGCTGAATAATCGGCGACGATCAATACCGTTCGGAGAACCGACGTACATCACCGTCCCCGTGCATTCGTGCATGTGTGCAATATGCATATACATGTCTCACTAAGTCTTGTTTCGTGAATGGACGGATCCGCGACGGATTTCGCGAAACTTGGCGACACGCATATATATATATATATGTGTGTGTGTATATCAATCGATCGATCGTAGTATTTGAGAATAAATCGAATGCAACCGCGCCAGCAGTTTCAGGGACGCCGCCGCCGCTTCCCGTTGGAGAGGAGTGCCAGGAAGGAAGCCCTATGGCTTCGCGGTCATCGTCACGACCGCAGTTGATATAATACTGACCGTCCGACGTAACGTCAGAACTTGAAACGGCGTCGTGCCGCGGTTGTCCCGCGCTTGAAATTCCGCACCTCGCCTCGAGAGAGCCGCCGCCGTACGTGCTCGATTCTCCCTTCCGCTGCCCTTCCGGGTCCCTTTTGTGCCGCGTACTTTTTAATCGACCGTTTTATCGCGCGAGAAACCGCCCCGCCGCTCGGGGGACGAACGTGTAGAACGTCTTCCGTTTAGAAAACGCGGTCCAGATTTTTCATGATTATCGATTCGACTCAACTTGGCCCTGCCTCCCCCCTCCCCCCTCCTATTTTGCAACTCGTTACGACGGTAACGACATCGTTACACTGTTGCGCAATTTTTTTATCACACAGAATATCTGTTCCACGATATATAATAGTCGTCGTTACTGTCGTAACGAGTTACGGAATCATTTCATCCTTGTTTATCAAATGACAAACAAGGACAAATAATCACGAGCGTTGTGAGCGTGAATCGGAGCCCTGGAATCGTACTTTTGAAAAGCATCGTACGTACATGAAAATGTGAGGAAATATCTATAGTACACGTAACGTACACTGAACAATAGTCTGGTATTCGCCACTCAATTCTTCGGAGTGGGATCTGACTCTGAAGAAAATGGAATCGGTCTTGAAGCTCAATTTTCGATCTTTTAAGCGTGAGGATCATTCTAAAAAGTTTTAGAAAGTATATCTAATGTCGAAATAATTCCAATCTAACGTTTGGCTAATATAAATAAAAAATAATTTTACCTTTCTAAATATTTAACAAGTATTATCAAACAGTAATATAACCAACCGTTTGGTAATACTGAATATTTAGAAAAGTAAAACTATTTTGTTTATATTAATCAAATCTTTTTCAATCAAAATTTGGTGACCATTACTAGTCTCTTTACTCAACGATACCGTATAGTATTTTTGTATATTTCCGTATGCAATATCTTTGAAGAATACGGCTCCTCCGGTCGTCACTCTGGGATTCGTAATTTGCATGAAGCCGTAAATCGCGTCGTATCGTGTTTTCGCTCGCGATGCACATCCGGCGCGACCATTGATCGGCTCTTGTGAATGAAACGGTGCCACGATTGCACGTCAATTCGAATTAGTGTTTTCTATAATAAAAAGAGTTAAGCCAATGAAGTAACGATTTTTGATTGGTTGTCTAAATCCATGTAGTCCAGCGAACACGAATTTTAAATGTTGCATTAAAAAAAAAAAAAATACAAAGGTTACACATGGACGTAC